TGACTCCCTGCCTGGCCTCCCACCTGCCCTGCCTGCTAAGCCCACCGGGGAGAGGAGTTGGGCGCAGGAGAGGAAACAGCACCCCTAAAACTGCAAAAGGGACCTGAGGGGATGCCACCACCCGGCTCCAGGAGTCCCAGAGTGGGCAGGACAGCCTTGGGGCCCAAGCCCAGATTGCAGCTCATTTCCTAAAGGAAACGCATTTTCCTCCCCGGTGCAAACTGGAACGGACACGCATGCAGAGCCGGCAGTCCCTGCGAGCACGGCTCTGCAGGTGTAGAGACACGCGGCGCCCACCCAGGGAGGAGAGCCCTTTGCCAGCTGCTGCACGGCCGGTAATGGCACGGACGCCGGCATGTCGTGGGCCGCGGCTGCAGGGACACCTGGGCCGGCCACCAGCACCTGCAGGCTCCCGAGAGGAGATCCCCCCCAGCCCTAGGGCCAGGAAACAAATTGTTGCCCAGGACTTTCCCAGGGCCACTCTCCTGTCCCCCAGCCAGGCCCGAGGGCCAGCGCAGTAGGGGGGCAGCCAGCAAGGCAGGATGCCGAAACGCCACCGCACGGCAGACTGGTGAATGCAACCCCCCCCCAGCGCTGGGGTGAAGGAGCCCAAAATGGGGCTGCCACCTCCAGCTGCCCAACCTAGACACACTGTGCACCCCCTGTCACAGCCCCAGCGCATGCTCTTCACAGGCACAGCCCAGGTACACCCTCCTACCCCACACGAAATCACACCCCTGTGCACACACCCAGGCACCCATGCACTCCCCCACCACCCCTGTGCACATCCCATGTGCTGCGCACAACCCCTCACATCCTGGGCACATGCCGTGCACACTCGCCCCATGCACCCCACACGGCACACTCACTCCACACCCCATGCACTTACCCATGCCGTGCACACTCGTCCCATGCCCTGCACACCCCCACCGAGTGCATACTCACTCCTCACCTTGCACATTAACCTCCACATCCTGTGCACACTCATCCTTGCCTGCACACTCACCTTACACCCTAGGCACACTCAGCCCACACCGCGCACACTCACCCACACCACACGCTCACAGCATGCCGCATGGATTCTCACCCATGCTGAGCACACTCACTCTATGCCCTGCGCACACTCACCCATGCTGCGCACACTCAGCCACCCCATGTGCACTCTTATCCAAGCCATGCACACACTACCCACACTCCATGCACACTCACCTCATGCTCTGTGCATGCTAACCCATGCAGGGCACAATCACACCCTGCACACTCTCCCCACACCCTGCACACTCAAACCCACTGCTCACATTCACCCATGCCCCGTGCATGCTAACCCCACACCATACACTCACCCATGCCACACACACTCACCCCACTCCCTGTGCACACACACATACCTGCCACACACACTCACCCACATCACGCACACTCATCGATGCTGCTCACACTCACCCACGTCCCATGCACAATCACTCCATGCCCCATGCACACTCATTCCATGCCATACGCACTCCTCTATACTGTGCATGCTCACCCACGCACCTTGCACAATCACCCACACTCACACTACATTCTGTGCACACTCATCCCTCATCCTGCTCACACTCACTCACGCCTTATGCACACTCAACCACAGCGCACACTCCCCCAAACTGAGCACACTCACTCCAAACCTTGCATACACACACACACTCCCATGCACATTCCCT